CTGCCCGTGGATGCGGACGTGCCTGCACCGCCCTCCACTGGCCTTGAGTAACTGGCTCCAAGCTCAGTGCTGGGCCTGTGACCTTGGGGTGGCAATGAGTCCTCACCCCTCTCGCCAGTGGCTACCAAATCTTCTGTCCCCTGATGGTGCCCCACTGGGTCAGGGGCTGGGGGCCTGGGGCGCTCACTCCCCATCTCCACACACACTGCTGCCCTCCCCATGCAGTGTACCCCCAACCCCATTTCACCCCTGCTCCCTCCACGCCCTCAGGCCCTGCGCACCTCCTCTGGGGGCGGGGTGGGGTGGGGGACCCAGCCCCTCCCCACCCAGCACTTGCTGTCCCTGTGGGCAGGGTGGTGTCGCTCCCCAGGCTGTGCTCCTACTCCTGAGCTGGTTCAGGGCTGGCAGGTGGCCACTGCCCAGTGACAGGGAGAAGGCTAGGCCACTGTCACTGCAGGGCAGAGGACACCGGGGGCAAGGCAGACCCCGGGGGGCGCTTCTCTCTCTGCACAGAACAGTTTAACTGGGTGCCAACCATGTGCCAGCTGCCACAAGCATACTGAGATGAAGCAGACACTCCCTGGGAGGAGGGGAGCTCCAGTCCTGGGGAGTGGGCGGGGTGGGGGGATGGGGGGCATGCAAATGCCAAGAGCAGGGGCAGCCTGAAGACTGGCAGGCTTCATGGAGGAGGCGGCCTGTGAGCTGAGGCTGGAGGGAGGCTGTGCTTTCAGAGTAGGAAAGGCATGTGGGTGGGGCATGGCCGGATGGGTCAGGGCACTTTCCTGTTCAGGATGAGGGGCCTGGTCAGCGGGACCTGACTCCACCGAGGGCGGGGGGTCGGAGGGGCTGTAGGAGCTGGGATGGGAAGAGGCGGAGCTGAGGGGCTGAGGGAGGCCCCTCCTCCTCTTCCGGTTGCCCCCCACCCCCGTCCAGCACCTCATTAGAGGAAGAGCCCCCACTTTGAGGGCCCAGTCGTGTGTCCTGGGCCCACAATCCTTTTAGGGAGACAGGAAAATGTTGTCATTTCTTTTAAGAAAAACGTGAACTTTAAGGTTGAAGAAGATGTTTTCACGTATAACGTTCATATGTTTTTCTTTATGCCAATAAAGTAATCAAATCTAACTTTAACACTTTTTTAGATAAAAAGGGCCCCCAGTGGCAGGAGGCTGGGCGGAGGCCAGGTCAGCTCCGAGCTCACACTCGTTCACGCGCACCCCGTGCGGGAGACAGCGTTACTGCCCGTTTACAGACAGGGAGCTGGTCCACGGAGCACGGCCTCTCCCAGGCGGATGGAGATTCTCCTCTTTTACCCGCGGCTCCTTGACCCCCCCAGCCCCTGGGCGCTCAGGGTAGAGAACTGATCCCTGGCATTCCCAGGCCTATGGCCCGCCGGCTCACCCCTCATCGCTTCCCCGTGCCCCGCCACCTCTCCCTCAGCCACACTCCAGGTCCTCAAACTTGCTCCATTCCTCCTGCCCCAGGGCCTTTGCATGGGCTGGTACTGATGCCTGGAAGACAGCCTCCCCATCTCCCAGCCTGGGAGTCAGCTACCAGGGTCTCGAGCATCCCTGGCTACGCCCTCCCCTGGGTCATGAATCCCAGCCGCCAGCATCTTCCCCTCCCAGGTGAGTGCCTCCCCCCTCCCCCCTTAGCCCGTGTGTCTCGCCCACAGTGTGTCCCCAGCTCCCAGCAGAGCCGGTGCACAGCAGGTGCCCGCTGACAGTTTACTGAGCAGACCGAACAGGCTGTACACGGGTTGTGCCCAGAGGCGCGCAGCAAGGCCGCACGGGCCTGCCTGGCTCTCACCCACGGGGCCTGGCAGAGGCAGGACCTGGGTGGGGGGTGCCGGCCACAGGGCTGGTCCAAGGGCAGTGGCGGGAGGCGGGTAGGAGCCTTTCTCTGATGGGAGCTAGATCCTCCAGCCCTGGGTGGGGGAGCACCCAGGGAGGCGGGGACACGTGCGGGGGCGGGGAGGGGACTCAGTGACCTGAGGAAAGCGCTGAGCCGGTCGCCGGGCCAGGGAGGGCCTGCACGCGGGCACAGTGGTGCCAGCTGTGACTTTGAGCCCACACAGTCCCCCTGTGTGTTTCCGGGGGCCACTGCTGACACATGTCCCCGACCGCTGCTCCTCCAAACACCTTGTCCCAGCCTCACATGCCGGAGAGGCCGCCCACCAGCCTCCAGGAACTGGGGGCTGCTCCCTCCGCCCCCACAGGCCTGGCCGCTGTCCTCCATCCTCCTTTGCGAGGCCAGATCTCAGCTTTCTGTCATTTGACCAGTCGGCATCCAGTGCCCACTGTGCCAGGCTCTGGGACGCAGCCGGGCAAGGCCCTGCAGCACAGAGCTCACCGGCCAGGGCGGGTTGGGAAACAATAGAAAGAGAATAAACTGAATAAAGAGAATCAGTCAGCACCAGAGGCTGGGAAGGGAGTAAAAGGAGAGGAGAGCGGCAGACGGGCGGTGAGGCTGATCTAGAAGGATCAAGGGACTGCTGCATGGAGGGAGCCAGCCTGTGCAAAGGCCCTGGGGCAGGCGTGGGCCTGGCGGGTTTGAGGTACATCCAGGAGGGAGCGAGTAAGAAAGAAGGTCAGAGGGCAATGGGGGCAGGAGGGGGACCCGCTAGCTTCTGCACTGTCCAGGGGATCCCTTCCCCAACCTCCCTGACGGGGAGCCTCTTTGGCCCCCCCCCCCCCACTGCCTAGGTGTCCCGACTGCAGCTGCCCGTTCTGGCCTGCCTCCCCCGGGCTGGGCCCCACTGCTCACCTGTACCCCAGAGCCTGGCCCAGTGCCTGGTACCTACGAGGTGATGATTGCTGACTGGCAGCCCAGCTCCACAGGCGGGTTTAGGGGCATGGGCTTTGTTCTTGGGAAGTCAGTGTGTTGCCCCCCAGGCCAGTGGCGGGTACTCGTGTTGTTGAGGGTGAGTCGTCTAAAACATGTTTTAGATGAGAAACGCCCCACCGAGTGAATAAAACGTAAAATGTGCTGAATTTTTGAAGATAAAACAAGAGACTTCAAAGGCATCTCACGCTGTGGGCAGTTACCCTGTGTGACGAGCTCTGCCCCTCAGGCCAAGGTCACTGTCCGCTGAGGGGGGGCTGCCCGTGAAAGTGTGAGGGTCGCTGCACAGTTCCCAGGTTCGGGGGAGCTCACGGGGGAGGGGGGCAAGGGGCTCCCATCTGGGGGCACCAACCACAGGCTTTCACACGGCACCGCTGCTGCTCACCTGAACGCGTCCTATTACAGATGGGGAAACTGAGGCCCAGAGAGGGGAAGTGACGTGCCCAAGGCCACAGTGCTTAGTGGGAGGGGCCGATGTCTGTGCTTGGCCGGGCCTGGTCCTGAAACCCCAGCTGTGAACTTGAATTTGAGCCAGTGGCTCTGCCTCCTGGGGCCTCAGTCTCCACATCTGTGGGGTGGGTAGGTCAGTGAACTGACGTCCTCGGGGGGCCTAGGTGGTAACGTTCAAAATGCCCGTAAAACTGTGATGCCCCACAGAGTGTCCCAGGGGCAAGGGGGTCCCCTGACAAGAGCAGCTTCTTACTGCGTTTGGTCCCCAGCCCCCTAGGGAGAGCCGCGGGGACTTGGCTGAACGCGCAGCTCCATTCTACAGAAGGGGAAACTGAGGCTCAGCTAAGTGCCTGGCCCGAGGCCACCCAGGTTGGGGTGGTGGAGACAGGGTTCGAAGCCTGCGGGTCTGACCTGGAACCCGGGACACTGAGCATCCTGCTCAGACTTGGCTTGTTTGCCTCCGGGACTGAGCCCCTCGCCCGCTCTGCTCGGAGCAAAGCCCTGCGATCCTCAAAGCTGTTGGGAGCTGTCCCCAGCTGGGCCCCCACTTCTAGGACGCCCCTCTCACTGGCCCTGTGCCAGGCCCTGACTCCTCTGCCTCCCCCGAACCTTCACTCCTGCCCTAGCCCCCTGGTGTGCCCCGGTGCCCACCCCAGGCCTCTCCCTACAAAAGCCAGCCAGGCAGCCGTTTCAGCTCAAAGCCTGTGAGTGGGTGGTGGTTCCTGCGGGCCTGGGCCTCTCCCTTGTCCCCTCCTGCCTGGGTGCCTTGGACTGGGCCCCTAGAGACCCAACCTCCTAGCCAGTGGCCCCCAAGCTGGACCCCAAACTTTCAGACCCCCAAGCCCCTCAACACCCGCTCTCCAAGCCCCATCACAGTCACCGTCCACTTGTTGGTATTTTGTTATTCAAGGAATTCATGGGTAATCTACAGCAACACAACACACATGGGCAAAAAGCAAAAGAAAAGGGAGTCACCCTTCCCTCATCACTCAGACCCCACCAGCCCCTGCTCACTTTCCTGTCGGACCTTTTAGACTTTAAATAAAAACCAAACATAGTTAATAACACATTTATCAAGCCAGTTCTCTGCGCCAGGCACTGGGCCAGGCCTTTTAGACGGAGTCTCTCATTTCATAGTTCCCTCCCCCGAGAGCCTAGTGAGGGTGATATTATTCCCCCACTTTACAGGTGAGGAAATAGAGGCTCAGAGAGGCTGAGTGACTTGCCCAAGGTGGCGCAGCGGGGCTGGGAAGTGGGGGAGCCAGAGTTTGAGTCAGGTGGTCCGACCTCCAAGGGACCAGGGCCGGCTGCAGCGCTGCGGGTGCAGACCATGCAGACCCAGCCTCGGCTGCCCGGGCCTCCCCTCCCCCAGGAGCCAGGGGCAGGCGCTCAGCGTCCCGCCATTAGCATAACCATGAGAGGAGCATCCCTGAAACCCAATTACCAGGAGATGGCTTGGGCCCCAGCCAGCCGGGTGCAGACTCCATCTGCGCAGGAATGAGGGGCTGGAGCCCGAGGGAGAGTGGATGGATGGCTGAGGGACATGTCCTGAGGGGAGGGGCCGGAGAAGGCCCCGGGCCAGGCTCGGGGTCGGTGTGGGGGTGACCCCTCTGATCAGTGCCGCTGGACAAGCCAACTACCCCCAAGGACGAGTCACAGGCTCTCCCGCCCCCAGCTGGCTGGGTGACCCCAGGCAGCTCCTCGCCTTCTCTGAGCTTCATTTGAAAACCAGGAGCTGATTGAACAGAAAACAAACCGTGGGTTTGGAGGAGGAAAGAGGACCCCCTAACAGCCAGGCAGGCGGGGCCTCCACTTCTCACTTCCCCCTGAGTGTCTCCTCTCTCCTGGGCCGCCCTTCCTCTGCCCCTCACCCTCATTCATCCTCTCAGCAACCTTTCCTATTGATTTCACACACACACACACACACACACACACACACACACACACACTCGGCCCCTTGACCTACCACCAGCCCAACAAATACACCATCACAGAAGAGTTGAAGCCGCCCCAATGCAGAGGAACCCCACCCTGCATTCAGGTTGCATGTTCCTGACGGTTCTGCTGTGCAGGACATTAGCGAGGCCTGCATGTCTCCATTTCATATAAAGCGGAGCTCCTGGGGACGGCCGCATGCCCCCGCCGCGCTGGGGAGGTGACCGGGTCGGCCGGTGCTGCTCTAGTCCGTCTGTTTTCACTGCTGAGTAATACTCCAGGCGGGGACCACCCCGCACGCATCCATCTGCCCTCCCACAGACCAGCAGGCCGCGGTGCCAGTTTTGTCTCTTGCAAGCGCAGCTGCAGTGGCATCTTGCACACATGCGCTGGGAATTCTGTCGGGCGTACACCTGGGAGTGGGACTGCTGGGCGGTGGGATATGCTCATCTTTTACTTCACTAGTTTCTGCCAAATTGCTCTCCAAAGTGGTTGTTCAGATGATCGCTTTAAAATATAAATTAAGTCATGTCACTTCCCTGCTTAAAAATCTCAAATAGCTTCCGATTACATTAGAATAAAATCCATATTCCCCTCCATGAATGCCTGGCTACATCCCATACTCTGCTCCTTGGCCCCCCCCCCCCCCCCCCCCAGTTTCCTGGCCTTCTTTCTCTTCCTCCAATAGGTCTTGCTCTTTCATGCCCCAGGGCCTTTGCACATACTGCTTCCTCTGCCTGACACACTCCCCCTGCAGCTTTTCCCAGACAGGCTCCTTCTTATCCTTCAGGTCTCAATGAAAAGTCACCTCCTCCGAGAGGCCCCTCTTGACCACCCAGCCGAATGCCTCCTGTTCCTCTTATCACACTGTATTTTCTGCTGGAGCCCACACCATGGTCCTGAATGCTCTCATCCTCAGACTCGTTTGCTGATGTGCTCCCAGCATGGCAGCCTGTGGGAGAGGACCTGGTCTTCTTTGGTCATTCTTGTACCCAGAGGCCAACACGGGTTCGGCACTGAGGAACTGCTCTTAGTGCCATTCATCCATTCGGCAGACATTGATTTGGGCCGTCTGGTTGCCATGTCTGGAGGGTGCGTGAGCTGTGTGGGTCAGGGAGGGTGAGCTGTAGCGGAGGCTCTGCAGAGGGGAGTGTGGTCGAGTTGAGGGAGGGAGCCTGGAGCCTTCTCCGGGGGCCTGAGGGAGCCAGGGCAGGTGCGGGAGCAGCAGGGTGGGGCTTGCACTTTAGAAACACCCTCTCTGAGCTGAGGGGCAGGGAACTGCAGGGGGTGGGCCTGGGGCAGGGGCTGGGGGTAGTGGTGGCCCAGGGTTGACGGAGGGCCAGGAAGAGAGGCAGTGCTTCACCCCAGGGACCAATCAGAGGAGCGCGGGCGACAGGCTGGATCGGGCCTGGGACCGGCTTCCGATGTGGCCCAATCAGGTCAACGGAAGGAGCCCTTTGCGTGTGAGCTCCCCTCCGGTCCCCTCCTTCCTCCACTGCAGGGAGCCGGGGGGCAGCTTCCTGATGCAGAAACCCAGCGGCTCCCCCTGGGTCCCGCAGGCGCCCTTGACTGGCCCCGACCCTCAGGCTCAGACCTGAAATTGAGGCCTCGGAGGACAGGATCACTCCTGTTGGAACAGGAAGTGCTGCCTGGAGACCAAACAGACTCACGGTCTTCTCTTCCGGACAGAAGGAAGGGAGTTCAGGGAGGCCCCAGGGAGGACTTCCTCGGACACTGCCCACCCGCAGCCTGGCCAGCCTGCCCCCTCGGCCGCCTGTGACGGCTGATGCTCCCGCACCTGACTGGGACTCTCAGG